TTCAGAAGGGTTTGGTATGAGTACTGAGGTGCTTTTTCTGGCTGATGCAGCAAAACATGTAATTGCTATTAAACCTTTGTACAATGATCTCTACATAAAGAAACACTGACAAGACAGTTTTAAATTTTGCACAGCAAATTAATTCCTTCGTTTTGCTCAGAAGGTGCCTTAGGTTTCTCATAGGAACATCGGATTGTCATTGGTCTTTTCTATCTCTTTTTCTTTTCAGTTGTTCCTTTTTCTTTGCAGATCTGGGATTATTTTGCGATGTTTTGGTAAAATCATAGAATCATAGAATCGTTAAGGTTGGAAAAGACCCTTAAGATCATTGAGTCCAACCGTTAACCCAGCACTGCCAAGTCCACCACTAAACCATGTCCTCGAGCACCACGTCCTGCAGTAATGAGTACTCTCAAGCTGGTAGAGTTGCTTTGAATTTACATCAATATAGTGCAATTGCAACATGTAGTGAAATCAACATTGCACGATTCACAAGGGAATGTAAGGAATGACAGAAATCACGGTGATATGTCTGTGGAGTGATGTTAGCACAAAGCAATACTCCAATGACAGAATGTCTTACTCATAGGAGAAGGTGCTATTGATTTTTTTTTTCCTTTTCTTTTCGCCACCTTGAATTGAACAATGTAATCCAGACTTCCCAGTTGTCCCTGTCAGTGTACATGTGACTCTGGGTAAATTGGATATTTAATGGGACATTGATTTGTCTTATTGGAAACCCAAATGAGCTTAAGAAAGCATTAATTATTCATTAATTATTCATTTAAGCTGGTCTTGTAAGCAAGAGTGGAAGTCTTAACCTAGCTTCTTTTGAAAAGTTCTTCCGTGTATATCTCATGTTATACACCTTTAAATGGCTCACCTTTACATATCTCATATATGTTCATTAATAAAGGAGAAAAAAGTCTTCAGTCAGTGCCCAGCAGCTTTGGAAGTTAAAACTGTTATTAAGCAACCTGAAACTCTGGAAAAGTTTTATTGATCATCTCTTGTAATTACTCTCTGTAAAATTGTAGAGACTGTGACAACTTAGACTTCTACAGGTACTGTAGCTTTCGTAGTTAATCTTGAAAAGTGCTGAAGGAATAAAAATAAGATTAAATATTCAATGAAATCGTTGCACCTGTTTCATCTGTATGCCTGCTTCCAGCCTCCCTTTGTTCAAATGTAGACATTGCGCTAGTTTAACTAGAGCCAGTTTAAAAAACAGTTCACTTAGTAGCCTGGGTACTTGTGATGGAATGACATTTGTTTGGAACTAGATCCATTGTGTTAGTAGGCATCTGCACCTTGATGAGGGGAGCGAGACCAATACATGGTGTTTAATCCTACACCAAAAGATCCATACACCTTGTTATACTGGCTGGGCTAAACTGATGTAAAACCACATCTTGACTTAATCTGACATGATTTGTATGTAGACAAGTTTCAGTTCACATCAGTATACTGGAACTGGTAAATACTTGACTTGTGTTTATATTACACTACCCAAGCAGTCAGTATGCACTTTATGATATGAAGACAATTGTGAGCCCCAGAACTGAACCAAGAAAGTGTTGCTCTGGTAGCATCTCTCCCTCAGAAAGCTGTTAATTTATGCTCTTTTAATTTGGAAGGTAGTCGTGGTGTTAATATATTTGGATTTGAAACTTCATTAAAGGCAACACAGCTCCTCAAGTTAGTGTTTGTCCACTCGTGTACTTTCCAATGAATGCTGCTTCCAGAAATACGGCAGATGTGGCATATGTGACCATCAGGACTGACTGACTGTCTTAGGTGCTTATGTGACTCTTTCCATCCCAGTGCCTGGGAACCTTGTCCTCTGTATTTGTTCTCACAGTAGGGTGAGGCTAACAGTGCTGTTACACCTGGCTTACAGTCAGGGACGCTCAAGACACAGAGAAACTAAAACATTCACATAACCTAATTTTAAGCTGATAGGTTACAGGCTCGGAGACTTAGCTGAACTTCGCTGTCTGACTTTAGTCCTTTGGAGTTAAGGGCATGCCATCCAAAGAGCCCAGATACCTGTTGTGGAGCGGGGTTTGGAACATGGGTTATCCAGATCATAAATTAATGCCCTGTCACTAATGATACTGCCTGGAGTCTGTTATTGCTTTAGTCATGATACAGAGATGCCTTATTGCACCATTGCTGCTGGTGCACGATGCCTGAGAATATATCCTCTAGCATGCAGTTGATGTGGGGAGGGTTGGTGCAGGCAGAGCCTGAAATATTTACTGTGTCAAGATGTGAAATGCCTGTAAGGAGATGAGCCTAGCTCCTGCTCAGGGTTTTCAGACCCAAAGCAGCTCACAATTTACATGTCCGGTAAGCTGGCTGGACTTCAGTCAGAAACACTTAAATAAGCTGCTTGTAAAGGTATTTCTCTTTCTTTAATTCCCTGTTCTGTCCTCACTGGTGACTATAAAGGGTCACCTCTGCCACTGAGAAGCCTTGTGTGTATTGCATATATCCAAAGGAAAAAGCTTGCAAGCAATTCCTTGCAGGAGAGCAAAAGTCAATTACTCAATCTTGACCTACAATGCCAAATTGAGGCCAGTAAGACAAGCACCATAATCAGCTTCACTTAAAAGATCAGTCTGGAATTAACAACTAGCAGTATTTGTATTCATTTAAATGGCTGTAAAGGCAGAAGTAGAAAGAAGTTCCATCATTGGACCAGTCTTGAAAACATTTATTTACTCTCTAGTAAAGAGCAAAAACTTGTCTTTCAGATCAATACCAGAAGCTCTGGATGCTGGCATGCAGAAAATGTTAGGGTGTCCTCCACATGTGAGTTTGAGAGAGCAGAATGTTGCAGGTACAGGTTTCACACTGCAGCATTTAAGTCCTAGGAAGCATTTGCCCAAATCCTTGATGCAGTTCCTCATTTGAGCAACTTTAAACATTCTGTTACCTTTTCTTCAGTTGGCATCAGGCCCATCTCAGGCTGTCTGGATGTAAGAGGGAATTTTCCTCATAATAGTTTAATTTACTAGCACTTGTCTCTATGTTTGTCTCTTCTTTCTTTCTTTCTCATTGCATAAACTGTGTGTTTCCTTGGTTACAAGTTAATAGTTAGTAAACTTGTTTGGAAGAGTAAGAACTTCCACTCCAGAAATAGTATTGCATTGCAGACTGTTAGATGAGGTTCGCTCAAGGCAAGGCATTTACTGGGCTCTTATTTAAAGGGAACTGCTAATTGAAAAACTGGTTGGCGTTGCCAACTGCATTCTGTTCACCAGTATGGACTGAATAACTGCTCATGGGGAATAGTTGAAATGAGGCTACCAGAGGAGGAGGCATTAAAAACTTTGAGCTTGAGTAGAAGAATTCAGCCATTTTCTTTGAAGACTGGGGAGGGAGGCGGGGGAGGAGAACAAAGTAGCAGCTGCCCTGTTAGTTTGGCCGGACTTGGAGCAGAAATTATTGCTTGGAATATTTGTTATCCTCTGTTCTTGATGCTGTTACTCCCCTAATCACATATTAGGCTTTTTTATTATTAGTCTTGTATTTACTCTATATAATGCAGAATGATAACAGCATTCTTCACTAAGGGATTTATAAAGGAGAGTAATATAGCAGGACTTCATGAAGTGATGGGGCTTTTTCCCCTAAAAATTCACTGAGGAAGGGGAGGAAACCGGTCCAGTAAATATGAGCAAGGTGTCTACTGTATTGCTGCATAAGCAGTAACCTGAAAAAAAGCATAATCCTGGCTGGGGAGATGTCAGGAATTGATCAGGAAAGGAAAAGAGAGCTCCAGAAAACACTGAGATAAAGTAATGAAGATGATTCCCAGTGACAGTGAGAGTGATGTAGGTGTATCAGCACTCAGTCTTTTGCAGGCCAGGAAAAGCAGGACAGGAATGGTAGGAAGATGGAGGCGTGGGTAGAGAGGTATGTTTTCTCAGAAATGTTCTGATGAGCATCACTGGTTTGAGAACAATATTACAAGAAGGACAACTTTGTACTGCTAGAATGGGATGTGGGAGGGAGATTTGAAGGAACATAGTTTTGTTTGGGAACATTCTAGGTAATACATTCCGCTTCAAATAGTACAGTTGAGACTCAGTCTTGCTCTAGTTTATGCCTGTGCATTTCTGTTGGGGCTCCAGGCTGCCACAAGACACATCTGAAGAAAAAGTTAAACATTTTTTGTGGAAACCAAATGTAGAGCAATAAAACATTTATTACGACAATGAAATACATAATAAAGCTGACACAAACCTTTCCGGTTACTGTCCAAGCTCTGCTCAGGGCTGTGGAATAGCTGATCAATTACCAGTACCTGGAATTTTGTCTCCCTGGCTATATTGCAGATGATTTGGTCATTTCTGTCTACTCATAATATCTCTGATAGGCATGCAGAGAGTCGTTTCTGCTAGAATTAATGGGAGTAGAAACAGGTAACGTTGGCTTCTTTTCTCTTCAGATGTGCTTTCCCTGTGTTAGGTATGTGGTGTAGCAAAATGGAGGTGTTTGTTACTTGTATTTAATATAGTCATTTGCATGCAAAGTCAGACTACCTGGTTCATCTGGTTTCTCACAACATGATTTGGAATTGCTTTCCTTTCATTCTTTTTGCTGCTTGGCTTGTATTCTTTCTTGGATTAAAATAGCCCAGTTCTTGTTGCCTTGTGCGCTCATCGAATGGTTTACACACACTAATGTTCTTGGAAAGAAAAGCTTAGGCAGTCTGAAACACTTTGTGGCACTGAAACTGCGGAGGGAATTTTTCCTTGTCTTTCCATGGCAGCCTCAGTGGAAAGAGGTAGTAGTTGATGTGAATGGCTTTAAACTACTGGTTTATGAAAAGTCTATATTTAAAAAAAACGTTAGTGACATTTTAGATGAGTGTAAAATGTGAACAGATACTTTTGTATCATGATGCAAAGTGTCTGAGAACACAGATTTATGTACAGGAGAAAATACTCTTTTTGTCTGGGTTTAAATCATATTTTTGTGCTTTACAGTGGCCCATCCTCAGGAGCCTCACCACCCCTCTGAAAAGCCGGTCATCCACTGCCATAAATGTGGGGAGCCATGTAAAGGTGAAGTACTCCGTGTTCAGGCCAGACACTTTCACATCAAGTGCTTCACCTGCAAAGGTAAGACCTTGATATTCATCTATTAGAAACGAGTCAATTTGCGCAAATGTACCTTGAACCAGCGATGAGAGCTCACGCTTCCTGCCATCGGCCAGTTACAGGATATTCGCATTGCTCTGTCTCTGAAGGATTTGTGGGAGGGGAGGGTAAAGAATGGGGGCTGAAATGGCTGAATTGCACATGTACAAGCAGCAAGGTAATCGGCACCACACAGAACAAATTCAATATGCAAATATCTACAATTTAATTGAAAAGAAAGATTTTATGAGACATTTTATTGGGGGAGGAAGAATAAATTTGCCACCACTAGAAGACTTGAAATAGCACATTCTCCTCTGAATACTTATGTGTTCATTCTTTTTCTTTTCTACTGTTCACTGGATGCAAGTTACACAATAGATAATTATACCTTCAGGAGATGAAAAAACATCTTGGTTGTCTCCAATATTATTTTCAATTTTCTTTGCTTCGTACAGTTTTATGTAGACAGTATCACATATTTCCCAAATAGTTAATTAAGCCGCGATTAGACTCTGGCTGCTTTGGTGAATTTCTTTTCTGTTTATTTGGGAAACAGTGGAACTACACTAAACATCCAAGATGAAGTGCTTTATGGAGAGTCACAAAACATAGGAAGAGAAAGTATAGCCCTAGCAGCCACTTAGAAATCCGGTGTAAATAGTTGAGTTGGTTTCAAATGTTGTGTTGTATGTATTTCCTGTTATTGCCATATATGGCAATATATGTTTAGATTGTATAGTGTGATATGGTGAAAAGGGATATGGCATAAGAATACTTCAGAAAATTCTTTTAGTAGTTTTTGTTCTAAGTGCTTTTTCAAGGATTTGGATAAATCTGGATTTTTTTTAAACTGTTAATAGTAGCTGCTGCATTTCATTAGAAAATTAAGCTCCTTTTAACTGAATTGCTGGCTGAAAGTAAGTACCTGCACTCAAAAAAAACCCACCAAAAGAACCCCCTGATAGCTACTGACATCCAAGAGAAACAGGGAGGGTGGTCACTGAGGGGCACGTGCTGGGACACGGGGGAGCCTCAGCCACAAATTTTGGGAGAGGTGCCTTCAGAGAGGGAGCAGGGCAGAGCATGGTTACAAAAGGGAAAGGAGCAGGAGGCAAGGGATATCTCTAGCAGCCATGCTGGCACCATGACCCTCGGAAAAAGCTGAGCTGGAGCTTTTAAGATGAGCGGGTGAAAAAAATTTTCTTTGCTCACTTTCCTTGTGGCTGGATTTTGCCTGAGTTCAAGAAATAGCAATATGCATACCTACACACACACCATATATGTGTGCATATCTATACATACTTGTGTGTATAAGTATATACATAAATGCAGACACACTTGCTGGGGGCCTCCCTTTTGCTGGGCCTTCAGTCTGTGGGGCTGGGCCTCCTGCTCCCTATCGGCCTCCCTGACTCCCCAGGTCTCCGCCTCCATGGGACCTTATCCTCGGAGCCTCCCACTGCTTCAGGCCTCCTGTGTGAGCCTCCCTCCCTTTCCGGCTCCCCCTCACTTCGTCTCCCATGGGTCTGGGCCTCCCCCACCATGGGCTGGGCCTCCCACTTTTATGGAGGCCCTCTCTTTTTTGGAGCCTCATTTGCCTGGGGGCTCCACTTGTGAGCATCCCGCTTGCTGTGGGCTTCACTGGCTCTCTTGTTCTCAGCCTCTGAGGGCTTTGAGTTTCTGAGCCTGCCAATTTTGGGGGGGACTTCCAACAATTTTGGGCCACCCCAACTCTCTACAAGCCTCCGCTATGTGAGCCTCCCACCTTTTTATTGGCTTCCCGTGCTTTCAGACCTCCTGCTCCTTTTGGGTTCTGCCTTCCCCCTGCTGCCCTCCCCGCACACCCTCGTCGGTCCTCCACTGTCCGAGTCCCTCCCCTCTCATGGGGCCTCCCCCTCTGTGGGCCGCCATTTTCTGTGCCTCTCCCTTCCTTTTGGCCTGGGCCTCGTAGTCTCCGTGACCACAACAAGGACTCGCTGTGGATTTTCACAAAAAAGAGGTTTAATGAGGCATTAAATAATTCTAAAACTACTCTTTGTGAAATCTTCACCTTTGAAGATGGGCGTTCTGAAACAGGAGGCAGTCCTGACTCCTTCACAGGGTTTCTGTTTAATTGGCAACAATACAGAGTTGGCTGAAGTAAGTAATTCTCTCATTGCAATGTGTAGGATGAAAAGTGAGAATATGGAGAAATATGTAGGCCCATGTGAAACAAGGGAAAGGTTGCTCCTATACTACCAGCATCTGCCACATTCAGTCCTAGCATAGCATAGGATAGATACAATGAAATGGTGTCAGGCTTGACGTGAACGTGTTGGAGCTGGTGGTGAGCATGGAGAAAGGTGCTGGAGTAAATCGGAGTGACTGAGTAACTAAAACAGAGTAGCAGAATCCTATACTACGGAGTTTTTCGCTTCCTTTAAACCTAAGTTATCTTTTCTGAAAGTCCGTATCTACCACGTATACTGCAGATCCAGACTCTGAAAAGTGCCTCAAGCCCAGTCCCTGAGTTTCAGTTATATTTTTCATGTTTCAGATGTGGGTGGAATAGTATAGTAGTGTGAATTGCTGTAACTCTGTCCTTCTGCTTCCTAAATAGATGGGATATAGCAGAAATTAGAAATATTTGTTTTCCTATGTTATTAAAGATTTTTTTAGAAAGTCACTTGAGTTATTTGGATGCTGAAAAATGAATGGCTAGAATCTAAGAAATTCTGTGTTTGTGTTACCTGTGGGTTTTATTTAAATACAGCTAGATAGCTCAAAAAATACTTAACTTTCTCCTGGATATTGATGTCTTTCATCTGTGTCAAACTGATGAATGGAATGGTATCAGCCCATCATGGAAGGCAGAGAGGAGCACTATCATCTGCACTGTTCCTGAAATTCTTAGGGTAATGCATCGGTCTTCCTGTATTACAGTTGCTGTATTTCAAGCAGCACTCGGTGTTATATAATCCCTAAACAGTTCAAAACCAGCAAAAAGTTGTTTCTTTTACTGTTTCTGCCCATAGTGAGTGGTGGTCTCAATTTACAGCAGACCCTGGATTAAGGTATTTCCAGCAGCAGGTCAGCTGAGACCCTTTGAGTCATGAAGGAGAATGGTAATTCAGGCCAGGTGGTGAACAGGGTGCCTAGGACCTCCTGATAAAGCAAGGGGGCAGATGGAATAGGGCTCTGGAATTGTTCTCCT